GACAGCCTCTTCCCAATATGCGTTTTTGCAATTTACATATATGCAAAAACGCATAAAAACGAATGCAATTTGCAGCGAACAACAGCCCTCATCCTCTCCCAAAGTCCATCTTTCTAGCAGCGTTTTCACTTTTCAGTAAGGAACTGGAAGTGGACTGAGATAGGATGAGGGTGGCCGTTCACTGCAAAATGCACTCGCTTCTTAGTGAAATCTGCGTAAAAAGCTGAGCAAAAACGCATGCTTGCATCGGCTAATCTGACGCGTCCCAGCCTGGGTTATTGCATTATGCTAAATTAATAGTTGTGGCTGTTGCTGTCATTATTATGGTTTTTGGGATTATTATTTTTATTACTGTTTACTATTATTGCTGTTACTAATATTATTACCTTCATTATCATCATTATTATAATAATTATTATTGTCGATATCCTTTTATTACTAATGTTACCATGTTTTATTATCCTGCATTATTACTGTAATTACTGTTATAATTTTGTTCATTATTATCGCTTTTTTTTATTACTACTACTACTACTGTTTCATCCTTATTCCTGTCTTCGTTTGTCAGCTATAACAAAAAACCGGTGCGACTGAAGACGATCTGCTGCTAGAGTTGCTTAAGAAATGAGCCAGCAAACAACATGTTGTTTGTATTCCCTTCGTATGTGAAACACTGCATCGCTATTTTGTTATCGAAAGGGGTTGCGGAATGGGCGAATTGGTTCCTACTATTAGCGACTGGCGTTGATTTTCGGATACACTGCCTGGATTGCGGCTTGTAGCGGTTCCACAGGCCGCAACATTATGTTGCACCAAATTCTTACTAATTAAAAGAACCACTGCGAAATGTGCGAGGCTGTGAAGAATCTGATTTTATCTGCATTTGCAAGTTAACTTCCTTTTATTTGTTACTCTTTCAGGCCTAATTCAAGAGAAGGATTTTGGAGAAATGATAAATCCGGCGAAATTGCTGGATACCGGTGGAAATGCACAGGAAGGGGCGCTGCAGGAAACTTCGTTGCCGCGTAAGATTGACACTTTCATGCAGGTCAGTTGTAAGTTGACTTATTCCGCAGTTGCGAGTTAGGAAAAAGTACACTACTGGATCATCGTGCGTGCCTTCGGCTGTTCCGCCTTGCAATATTGCTCCGGTAGTGCTTTGGAAAGCGTTATCTGTAATACATCGTTCCATGAATTTTGAAGGGCTAAGCAGATGAAGCTTTTTATTGAATGAGGTATTTGTAATTGTAGCTTTATGGCTTTTTCCTTTATATGGATTTTTCGAAAGGCTGATCAAGTTCGATTGGAAAATGATTTTGAGCGAATTAAATACTGATGTCGTGCGCTTTGGATACCCAGGAAGCAAAAACGCGTCCGTTTTTACGTGTTTTTTCATTTTTATGCAAATGCAATCAATTGCGGCTCGTGCCAGACTTGCATATGCGGTCATGCGTTTATGTACGATTTTGTTCTGTAACGGGACTGCTTGAACTCGCACACATGGTTGTTTTCTGAAGAAATTACGGCTTCCTAGCTCTGTTGGCTCCCGGAGTCGCTTTCCTGCAAGAATGTTTGTCATACTCGTACACGTGATACAAGTGGACGCAGATGCTCATTTTACGTGTACTGACCCACACATAGACAGCAAATATTCTCGTAAAACAGGAATGTTGGCGCCTTGCCAGTTGTTGTGAAACCGCAACTTTGACAAATCCCAGCATACAACATACTTGTGTGCTTGTGCTGAATTTGAGATTTTTAACTCGTACAAGGGCATAGAATATCCCTGTGAAAAAGTTTCAACCTCCTACTTTGTTGGCCCCCGGAATAGTTTCCCCGCCAAAAAATTCACACGAAATTTTTTTACGCGTCCGTGCATGAGGCCAGGTGTACGTCAGCTGTGGTTTTAAAAATGGAGTATCACACTTGGGGTGGGAATATGTTCCAAAAATTTCAGCTTTCTAGTTTCACTGGTTGCTGAGTTGAAAATGATAACAAAAGTGCAAACAAACACACATACATACATTGACAGCCTTTTGTCAATACGCGTTTTTGCATCTGCATAAATGTGGAAAAACGTATACGGACCCCTAAAAGAATTCGTGCAAATTTTTTAGCGGAGAATCGACTTCAGGAACCAGACAGGATAACAAACTAAAATTTCACAGGGATGTCCTTTGTTCTTGTTTGTGCTAGAGATTTCAGATTGAGCTTTGACGCATGTCTAGGTCACATCTATGGATACATCAAAACTGAAATTTAGACATCATTCGCAGAATGCCAACTCGGGAATTTAGCTGATTAAAGTGTCCTGATTTTGCCTGAATATTTGTTGCTCATGCGTGGAGGTATGGGTATAAAATGAGCCTTAGTGTTTGCCGGTGCGTGTTTGGATACTCAAAAATGTTTGTAATGAAAAATGATTTCGTCAGCCAGTCATGTTAGGGAGCTGGAACTTTACGAAGATGTTCTTTCCCCATGTGCTATCGAAATTTCAAGTTCAACTTTAAAGCATTTCGCGTGCTCGTAGCTGCTCGGAATACTGTTGTCACCCAGTTTTTCTGAAGAAGTTTACTATTTATGTGTGGTCTATCAAACATAAGACGAGTTTCTTCATAGGCATGAGCTGTACATACATATCAAATACCTAAACTGCAATACCGCAGTCACATGCGGTAGTACGGGCAACCTCTCTAGAGAATGGAATCATGCAAAAACTTGTCTCACTGCTGCGTCGCTGTGTGGTTTGCTGCCTGTGAAAGGCCAAGGCACTGGAGAAATAGCTCGAGTGGTAGCAAATGCCAGAGGTGACGCTGGCAAGGCTGCCGATAGCTGTTTCTTTTGTGGGTTGCTTAGAAGCAGCCCCATGTCGGTGACTCTCTGGCATGCGCCAATACCAGTTGACGATCAAAACGAACAAACGGATCGCAGAGGATTGATTTCCTCAGTGGTGGAATCGATTCCTCGACCTGCAATACCAGAGCAGAACTACTCATTGCTGTGATGTGACTGCGAGTAGCGCTGCTGTCGTCTGATAATTAAAATTTTTTGAGATGTTTTAGTCCGCTGTTTGCCAAAACGTCTGATGTGAAAATTGTTCAGCCGCGAGGGATAGCTGAGGGAAAGAGGGCATGGCGATAGTAAACTTTGGCATTATTATGATTACTTAACAGAACGATTCCAAGATTGTGCAGCCAAATGAATTTGATCTGAGAAGCAAGCATCGCACGGTTTTTTTTAAGATAGTTATAACATCCATTAATCCCTGAATTGTCATAGTGCGATATTTTGCACTAGTAGCAACTTCTATTATGCAAAATATATTTTGGGTCGTGCTTTTGGTTCAGTTTTACATGTGTGGGGACGGTTGCTTTTCGATCGAATTTTTTTAAAAAAAAAAAAACGTTGGCAATCGAAGGATGGAGTAGAGAAGTTCGCAAATTCTTTTGTGTTGCCGTAGGCCGCGTATTCCTTGTTGGCCTTCACTTTTTTCACATTTTCTGCACTGGCACTCTTTCTCTCCAGGTGCTTTCTCAGCGTGTGAGGATTACATGGATTTAATTGGAAAATCTGAATGTAAAATTTGTGAGTGACCGATGCAATCCATCTACGCGTGCTCAGCCAGCACAGCAAAAGGAAACAGCCACCTACTATCATAGGCAATTTTCTACAATTCCAGATTTCGTTGAGCAACTTATAGTTCGAAGAAAATTGATGTTTCTCTGGCTGCGCACCAAAATTTTGGAGATGTGAGGCCATTTGTGCACTTTGGAGCTTCTGCCCTCCGCTTCATCCCGCCTTTTCCCTGTTCGCCCTTTCCTCCGCCGTTCTCTTATTATCCTGAACACCTCGATGCATTCTATGGGACCTCGGCTTAAACGATGCAATTCGTTACAAGCCTGGCAGTCGGCGAATAATGAAGCGAAAATCTTACGTATTTGTCTGTAATTAGCCTGATCCAGCTATGCAACTAGCAAGTTTACCAGTTGCTTTGAGCAAGTGGTACATCGCCTCGTGGTCAGTTTTCTGGCGGTTTTGTAGCTACGTCTTCCGAAGGACTAACTGCTCCATAGCTGCTACCGAAAGAACTAATTTGACAAAGCTTTAGCCATTTGTAGATTCAACGGGTGTATATATACACATGTATATGTGTATACATATGTATATATACGTACATATATGTACATATATACATATATATACATATATATATATATATATATATATATATATATATACGACTTCGTCCTCACCCGTTGTCATCAGAAAGAATAATAATGACAATACCACTAGTAATAAAAGTAACGATGGCAGTAATTTAATGTGGCAGAAGAGAACTGTATTTTTTAATAATGAATAGGTGAAGAGCAGTTATCATCTGTAAATGCTGTGCAGGAAGACCTTTTATTCATGATCACAGTCCCCGCACCCTTGTTGCCTTCTTCCTCTTCTCTTCCGCTTTCTTCCCTCCCGTCCTCTTTCCTCTTCTCCGCCGTGCTCTCCGTAACCATAAAAGCAAACACTTACTCATCTTTCCTTTTACCACCACGTAATCATGAGCCTTGGTGCCGCTCAGAACACCAGCTATAACCGTTAAAATTTGTTTACTTAGTAGTCCTGAAGAGTGCTCGCGTGCTTCAGCCCATGGCTTGTAGGATGGTCACTGGCAGTGGTTCGTTTTCAGTTGGTTATACTCTTGTACAGCGTGCTAGTGACGGATACTATTGACAGCTTGCGACCGCTCAGAGGGATTATGTTGCATTGTCTCTCTTGGCTGCCAAAGCGCTCTCCAAACACAGGCCACTACTGCCTTTGTTCGGATAAAATAATGGGCCTTTTAAGCTTTATTTTGTAATAGACTGCTGTTTCGCTACTGAGTATCGGCTTCCATTCGCCTGTTGCCGTCGGTGGGAAAAAATGGTCAGTGTCCTTCCCCAGACTTGCTGTCATTACAGTAAGCGGTTATCTGGTGGATATTTTGCTCTTCACAGAGGATTACACGGGACTGATAAGCCGCGTGAGTGGAAGGTGGAGCAGTGCGTGTGGAACTGAGTTACAGTAAGCTGGAAGACAGAGTCAGTAGCACTGAGAAGCCCCAGGCGAAGCTGTTCGAAGTAGATTGCTAGGTGTGTCTGATAAAAACGTGATCAGTAGGAGGGGCGCAGTACGGGCTGGTTTCATACAAGTCGTCCGATAATAATTACACCATTTCTTGTCTGTTCGTTCAATGATTGATTGCGTTTCTTCATATGCAGGGTTCGGAGAATCAGGAAAGTCCTGGCGCTGGTTCAGCGCATTCATCAATCTCACCACCAATATCGCTCATGCATGACTTTCAGCAAAGCTCAACTACAGTACCTGTTACACTGTCGCAGCTGTATGTTTTTTAGTTCTTTTCATAGACTTTTTTTTTTGCTTTCAGTGGTTTTTTTTTTTGTTACACATTACAGTGTAATTTGTGAAAACTACCGCACACAGTTATTGGTCTTGAAAATTCCAGCTGTGATTTCAGCCCGTGAATTTAGTGAAAATGTAAGACGATTTAAATACAAAACCTCTGGAGTGCGCCTGAAGCCAACACATGCACCAAAGCTCCGATTTATGGACGATGCTATGTTTTAGATCGAAATTGATCGAGTGTTAGCCCATTCATTAGCGACTCTGTTTAGCTGTTGCTGGTCAGATGGGGTTGCATCGGCAGTTGTGTGGGACCATGCAATAAGCTGCATCTTTCAAATGTTTGCTTAGAGCAGCATAACCTGCAACTTACCTGAAGTGGTTAAAAATCTGCAAACCAGCTGCATAAAGGATGTATACAGTCTATGGTGCTGGAGGAATGGAGTGTATGAATAGGCGCAGTAAAAGTTTGATTTACCACTGCTCCTGCGAAATGCAGAAGTAGCACAGGCCAAAGGCAGACTGTTGCTTTGGAAATGCATTTTTACATGCGGAGGTAAGCGCCCATGCGTTATTGAATGATTTACTGGAGTGAAGTGAATAAACAAACAAGCATAGCTAGTTAAAGCATTAAAAAAAACTCTGATTCTCCCTATTTTTTGACCTCGCAGTTGTGCATTTCGATTCAAATGTTACTGCATTTCGATCTCCTTCACAAATAGCTCACAGTCCCTCGGGTTTTTACATGGGTTTTAGATGTTTGTTTGTCTTGAAATTTTTCTGCATTGCTTATTTTTCTCCCGCTGTTGATCCACGGAGGTGAACTGAGGGTGTATGAATAAGTGCACTAAAATGAGTTGACCACAGTGAAGCTCATAACCTACTTCTTCGGCTGACATAAAATTTCAGATGCACCCCTGCCGCAGCTACAGCTTCAGCGGCGGCAGCGGCGGCGACACCGCTTGGCAGTCATCAGATTCTGGTGGATCCGAACACGGGACAGCACTTTTTGGTGTCCTCGGCGCCACCACCACCACAGCCACAAATCATTTATCAGCCAGTTTACTATTCCGCAACACCAGCACAGCCTGTTTACTATCATGCGTTTGCCTCGGGAGCTCACGGTTAGCTTACTCGGATTAATTTGGCTACCGCTGCTAATCATTTGGCAACTACTGGATTTTGCAATTCTTTTAATCCCGCTTTGTGCTGCACTGCTTTGGTAAACCGTCGGGTAGAGCTACTCCATCCAGTATGCTTCTCCCTTAGATAATTTAGCCACAACTGTGAACTTTGCTACTGAATTAATTTTGAGCTTTCAAGTCGTCAGCATCTCACCAGTTATCCACTTAGCTCCCGAGTCAAGGAAAATCGTCACATGTTGAAAGCAGCAGTCTGCCGTATTCGTTTGTTGTAGCTGCATACCACTGTTTTTGTTAATATAGACTGTCCCCCAATTAGATCTATTTCAGTATATCGGGTAGAGGACATCACTGTAATCCTGAACAAATTAAATTGCCACGATATAGAGTACACCAAAAATTGTCTGTACTTTTCGCATATTGACATCGCGGGTGAGGCATCAAATTTTGTGGTGCAATTGAGCGTTGATTTTGTGACTCTCCTTTGCCAACTGTTATTTTTACCGCATAACTTTTTTATTTTGGGTCTGCAGAGAAGACTTTTAGTTAGATTTCACATTTTGCATATAATGCTGAAAATTTATTTTTGTATGTGGACCAGCGGCGGCTTTGTTTCACTTAACTAACGTACTCTCTCTTGACCTCACAAATCATCAGTGGTCGTTGGGTCATTTCCGCCAATTTCTCAAATTTCTGATTTTTCAGTACTTGAGCATTTTTAGTAACACATCATATCAGTTAAAAATTTTCAGGAGCTTATGTTGTAGCAGCCACACCGATATCGAGTGCCCAGAGTGGGGCCTCTCATGTGGCGCCGCAACACATGTCGCTGGGACAGCGCTTCTCATCTACACCGCCACCAGCACCTGCGACCGCCCAAAGCAGTATCGGTGGTGGCTTTGCACGTAGCCTTGCCGATTTTGATGAAACAAGGTTAGTTTTGCTTTAACTTTAGAAAGCTTTTGGCCTAAAATCTCGTCTTGTGCGATGTAATGCCTTGTTTTCAGTTTGTAATAGGACAGGTCATTCGAAATATTATGCAGACGCAGCCGTAAATAACCCAATTCAGCTCTGTGCTTGGGAAGTCTGAGGTTAGGCGTAGCGTGGTGCAGCAGAGTAGTGATAACAGTAAAGTACTGCGGAAAAAACAGGAGCACTCATTGAAGGGTTGATGCGATCATACATTTTTACACCCGTTTCTTGTGCACGCACAATAACTGGATGTACCGATGTATGCAAAAGCTGTTGCACTGAATCGTGATTCCTTCTTCCGTCATCGGGTTGGTGGGAATCTCCAGAATTTTAAATGCTCGGCTTTCTTGTTGCTGCACGTGTAATGTCGACTTGTTAGTCAGTCTGAGCTCGAAACTGAAAGCACATTCACTCATTTCCTCTCGCCTCGTAGCGCAAAAAGCTGCGGAAACTTCGTGACATAGCAGAATAAAACAATTCGGACCACCCAGTTCGGTATGTGCGCTAAATTAAAGTCCTAATCTTATCTTTTTAACTATCCTTAGATTACAGTATTTAGTGATTTCTGGACCTGGTATTAACGGTTTTTGTACAGAAAGTCCTGAAATTTGCCTAAGATTGATGACTTTCTTTGCGTTTCTTACAAAATTTTTGGTGTTGTGAGAAATGTCGACGTCATATCTTTCATACTAACTGAGTTGAATTATCCCGACATCGAGATACACACACAAATGTGTGTGTGTGTGTGCTTGGAAAACTTCGCAGACATGAATATTGTACGCTTACAAGATGCACAGTGGCAGAAGGCAGGCAGGTAGCCCACAGCGACAAAGTTGGGCATTGATGCATTCGGGGTGTAATGTGGGAAGTTTCACGCTGATAAGCTTGATAATCTTGTTAAAATTGTGCTTGCTTATTATGAAACTACCATGCTTATTTTTGGAACAATTTTTAGCCAGCAAAAACGCATATTGTCGAGAGGCTGTCTGTGTGTGTGTGTGTGTGTGTGTGTGTGTGT